ACAAATTCCCAGTGTGTAGAGAAAGTACATCAAGGGTGCATTGCTTCAGGAAATTGTAGCCCGACGTGGTCATGCGGAACCCAACCTGATTGGATTTGAGGCTAAAAACACAGTAGATGGTTTCAAAGTATCAATGATTGGTCTCTAAAACGAGGGCTTAATGAACAATTTTGTAATTAGCTCTGTGCGCATACCTCTGTGGGAAAGCAAAGTTTGCTTGGCCAAAAAGATGTGATGGAGAGGTCGATGATATTAAAGATTGAGTCTGATTTGAAGATGAATCATTAAATATTGTGATCAACACCGCATGACTACCACATATGAGTTAATGCACAAGAAGGACTGCAGGAACGTTTCGCCTGATCATTAGAGATGATACTAAATGGGTCAAAATGGGGACAGCCAATTAGCGCGCGTTAATCAAGCTGCTCTGTAACTTGTTAATGTGAGATTTTAATAGCGGCGGCCCGCCACTGATGTGCTAGTTTTTACTTATACGAGCCCGTTCAGCTACATTCTGGTCAAATTGTAGTTCCAATATTCTTATACAAGTCCGGCGCTGATGGCGCTGATACCTACGCGAAGTGTGTGTTTGCTCAGCAAATACGCACTGGCGCATCAACAGTGCGAATCAAATATGAAGGCGTTTACAATTTCAATTCAGATGTTTTAACCACTATTAATGTCAATTCCTTTCGTCGTGTTTTCAACCAAGTAGAAGTGCGCCCTAACTTGCTCTTAAGGCAATATTGTGGTGAAATGATGTATGGTATGTCACTTTACTCAAACAAATCATTGTACAAAGTAGTTGATGACCACTTTTGGTCCTTCCTGGCGGCTAAGAGCGCTCTGAAGGAGGATTTATCGAAGTCCCTCTGAAAAACCCGTGGCGTAAAAAAGCAGGCAATCAAGTTATTCAACATGTGCCCATGGTGCTTTACTGCGATGATCTCTCAGGTAACGTTTCCAAGCGCTGGAACAAACACATTGCATTTTATTTCACTTTGGCTGGATTGCCACCGAAATTGTCAAACCAAGAATACAATTGTCACTTCTTGTCGACTTCGAATGCAGCTGGGGCATTGGAATTGGCAGACCCTATTGTTGACTCTCTCAAGTGAGATAGATTTAAATCTTTGCATTATTGGACGCATACTGATCCATCATCCGACATCAAACAGTGATCTGGAATCAGAAGGAGTGATTGCATATGATCACGCAATCCAAGCCAAAGTGTTGATAATGACTGCGGTCCTCTGTCATCTGGGAGACTTGCCAATGCACGCCGAAGTCACCAATACGATGAATCCGACAAGCTCACTTACCCCTTGTCGAATCTGCGACTTGAGAGTTAAATCAATGGCTGAAAAGCGGTCAACAAAGTATTTTTCTAACTTTGTTGGTATTGACAAAAGGGGGAACAAAGTATGTCTACATTTTCAATCAATCAATTGTGTTCCAAGGACTGACTTGCCAATCGTCTCAGTTATCTTTGCCAAAGCGTGACTGGGCAACAACGATCAGTGACACAAAGCGGCTCTGGGCAGTTGCGCAGCAACCAGGCAACATTTCACTGTTCAAATCTCTCTCCGCCAAGTTGGGCGTACGAGACCCACTGAATATCAAATTTGTAAGGCGAATCCAAGATTTGAATTGTGATTCAAAGTCTTGCAAGAAGACATCGCCAACATTTGCGAAGGATTGAACAAAGATTTTAGAGATTGGCTCTTCAATCCCTTTTTGAGGCTCCATCACTGCAAACATTAAACAACTTCCCTTCAATTGTGGGGGGGGGATTATTGAAAGTATAATTAGTCATAAAGGATTGATCAACACATACCCAAGTCATAGCACCCACACTACATATGTGCAGTAGGATGGGGAAATTGGGAGCTATCATGTACATACAGAGCTGTTCAGCTCTCGGGTCATCTGAATGAGTAAATCATATGTAATACCTTCTGTAATTTTTTTCAGTTTGACAAAAGCATTTCAAGAATTGACTACATACACTGACTCATAGCTTCTGTGTAATTTCATCAAGTAAACCTCATGTAACACCTTTTCTGTTACTATTCAATGGTGTCCAGAGTATTGCCTGAGTAGCTACGGAGGATTATGTAGTCAATTTTTGGGAGGATTTTGTCAAACTGGAAAAAGTTACATGATGTATTACATGTGATTTATTTATTCAGATGAGCAGGGAACTGAGCAGACCTGTATGTACATGATAGCTACCAACTTACTCAGCTTGTTGCACATATGTAATGTGGGGTTTATGGCTCAGGTGTGCAGTTATCAATGCTTTATGACCAATCATACTTCTAATGATTTTCCCCTGCTCAATTGAAGGGAAGTTGTTTGATGTTTACAGTGCATGGTATTAACAATTTCCTTTGTATTTATGCGAACACATGGTAGCAAAAAATCTCACCAAAACTTATCTTTTATCAGGTTTCGATGGTCACAAGAATACTCCGGTGGAGATATTACACGTTGTTCTCTTGGGCGTTGGGAAGTATCTTTTGAGACATCAAATGCAAAGATGCTCAGCAAAAGAGAAAGAGAAGATCCGCGGAAGATGGCGGTTGTTCAATACCTCCGGTTTGAACATTCCCCCCGTTCAGCCAAAAACTATGATACAACATTTTCAAAGTCTAAATGGTAAAGAGTTTCGAACTGTGCTCCAAGCTGCCCCCTTCATCTTCTATGAATGTGACTTGAGCCAACAGGAACGGGACATGTGGACATCACTATCTAAACTCGCACCATATATTTTCCAAACAGAAATAATAGACATGGACTTGTATCTAAATGAACTTCACAAACACATTCAGCAATTCCTCAGAGCAATAGTCCAGATGTTGGTGCAATGGTGTAATAAACCAAAGTTTCACATGCTCACTCATCTATGTGACACAATTGATCGCTATGGCCCTGCAATGTTATTTGGAACTGAGAATTTTGAATGCTATAATGGAAACACAAGACAATCATCTGTAAAGTCCAATCATCTCAGCCCAAGCCGTGATATAGGAAACTTGTTCAACAATCATCGACTCATGAGGACTATCACGGCGGGGACAAAGCTCTATGACAAACATCTGCAAACTTATATGCAAGCCAGTTTGAACGTGCGCAACATATTTGAAACAAACACTTTATTCCAAAAGGCGTTAGGCTACAATGCCTCATGGAATGAAGAGAATGTTTTGGTAGTTGGACGTGAGTCAAAATTCATGACCTCCTCCTTCTCGTACATCTCTGACAGTGAAACATTCTTAGGCAAACAAGCCGATCAACCTGTTCAACCGGAAAACTTGGTACCCAAGGAAGTCTATGATCACTGTGGAGCAAAAGACTGGAAAGTGCTGGAATTGATAATTTTGAAAAATAATCAAAAGGTCTCATCAGAGGTATTTGTTTCTGTCTACACCTGCGCGACTACTACACGTATGATTGGACATGTCAAAAGGATTTGGGGAGTGGGCGGTTGTGGAACTCATCAAATTAAGGTTGAATTAACAAAATGTCGATTGGGGTTGATCAATGATTTCCACGCAACGCGAGAGATTCAAGACAGATCCAAAACGATTTGGATTATCCCAAAAGTAAGCCGGTTTGCAGTTTTTTGAAGTAGGTGTGATTGTACATTGACTCTCGCTTTCTTCTGTTCATGCAGGACATCGAGGCGGTCCTAAATGTCCAACATGACTGCCACAAATCCAATTGTTCAGTTCAGAAGGTTCGGCCGATCATGATTGAAAGGCAGGTTTCGCAAGTTAAAGACTTTGAGGTGGTCCATGTCAAAACACCAGATTACATACTCAATTAAGCCTCCTTTTATTCCGCTGCACTGCATCGAGAATGGGCAAACATACCTTGTGATTATGTGACACCCGCTGAATGGGTCCGCGCTGTGCAGACAGGAATAGAAAATTGGGAACTATCAATAAAGGAAAAGGAGCAGAACAAAGAGAACAAACACAACAAAGAAAGAACCCGACTCTTGACCAGACAACCAGCCAAGCCAACGACCAAGAAAAGGAAAGCCGCACATCTTCTTTTGGAGGATGAGCAGACTCCGTCGCAAACACCACTTCCTTCACCTTCACCTTTGATTCAGAGCGAATATTTTCCCGTAGCCGGTCCATCACGCTGGTGACTTGTAAATTGGCTTCATTTCAGTTATAAAATATCACTTTTGTATCTTTAAACAATTTTATTGGATAAAATATCACTTTTGTATCTTTAAACAATTTTATTGGATAAAATATCACTTTTGTATCTTTAAACAATTTTATTGGATAAAATATCACTTTTGTATCTTTAAACAATTTTATTGGTATCTTCATTTTTTAGTTCTTCAAAGAAAACAATGCGTTCATTTGGGTTGCGTATGGTATTTTAAATTTTTCTTTTGAAGATGTTTCTTGTTTTTTGAGACAACAGCGCATTGGGTGGTTTCAAACACATCAAATCCTATCCAAAGCATGTTTAAAACATTTATTTGTTTTGCAAATCACATAGCTTGTCGCACTCATACAAATTCCAGAGAGTGATCAACTTGACAAGACCACAGAGTGACGCTGAGGTTGAGGTGAGTGATCACGCTGCAGTGCAGGAAGCGTGATGGGTCCGATGAAAAAACCGGTCCCGCGCAATCTCAACTGTCATGCAGATGATTCACTTGGAGATTTTGTGCTTGATCACTGACACCACCACAAAGACCTGAATCTTTTTGACCAGAGCGAACCTTCCAGTTCCCTCGCCTCCAACTTCAACCGACTGGAACACCTCAACCACAATTAATTCATCACTGACTCAAACGCCTGAGAAGAAACATCGCGTTCATCTGAACACCCTGACCTCATCCAGTTTGTTCCACTTGACCTCACCAGTTTCATCTAAGACATTCAGGAATATCAAATCAGATCAGCCTGAACAAATAATTCACATCATCATTCACATCGAGGCCATCTCAAGATCATTAAAGGACCATGTGCTCAGGACATGATTATGCTCATTGTCTTCCTCGCGTCAGGTCTTCTTCCGCTGACGTGATCAAGTCCGCTGCTGCTGAAGCGAACAAGTGCACCTGGGACCAAAAGACCAATAAGTACCGCCTTTGTTTCACCTTTGGTGCTCTCGTCCCTCATCAACCTTCCATTTTAGTAACTTTCCGTTTCTTGAAACCCCCTGCTTACTTCAATCAACTCCCTTCATTCTACTCATAGTTGCCAAATGCCTCGACGATTGCGATACAGACCGTACGATGCCCAATCATCAAAAGTTTCAGCCAGTGCGACATCTCCTTTGTCAGCCACACCTCAACAAACTAGTTCAAAACTCAGTACAATTAACAGGGGTTCTTCGCGTCAGAACGCCGAAGCACCGCGGAGTCTTGCGTCTCCCGCACCCGAGGTCCACACATCATCAGACATCCAAATCTTTCCGAGTGATCTTGATCAGTTCAACGCACCAGCAAATCATGTGTTGCCAACCATCTTGATCAGTTCAACACATCGGGAGACAATCAGCGTTAGTGATTTGAATTTCATTTGCATTCTACGTTCTACAAATAAACTGACAAACTGGGTATCAACAGTCAAAGACGAGCAGGACGAACAAGATCCAACTGGTTATTCCACCTTGTCATCACCAGCAGCGAATCCTTTGGAAACCCCGGACACTTCTCCAGGTTCACCCACGGTCTCGCGCAAACCTGTCATTCGCATGACAGGATTGCAGCTCACCTACTTCAATGTAGTCTCCGCCCGTGCCAATCTAGACGAAGATAGCTTGGTTTTGGGGCGACAATTATGTAGTGTAAGTGTTTGTGCGGCCTGAATTTGGCATTGCACACTACTTTGTTTACATTCTTTCGCACATTTATGTGACAGGCCCAGAGCGGAGACCATCACTTCATTGCCCTCATGGTCGCAATTCTTGCCGGACGCCAAGAGATCCGGGAGCTTTGTCACGAGCTTACTCAACGGATCGACGCCATTCAAGATCCCCGAGACCCCAGAGGTGGCAGAGGGTTACCTCGTTCCGATTCCCTTGTTTGGAAAGCAAGCAAAGAGTTGAGAGTGAGTCACAGTTTCATCAAATTTGTGAATTTCAAAGTTTCACTGACACTTCTGTGGCCTTGATTTAGGGAGTTGTGCGCTTATTGGGGTGTCAGTCTGCCATGGATGGTGATGTACAAGCATACACTGCAACCAAGGACAGGGGTGGGAATCAAGATGTGTTACCCAAGTCCCTGTTTGCTAAAGTTATGGTGAGTTTCCTTACAAACACGCAGAATTGCAGATCTTAATTCGAAGTGGACGGCATCTATTCTTTGGGCAGAGCGCGGTCTTATCGTATCCGTCCGAATGGAAGAATTGACTTCTGCCACCAGGTTATGGTACTGATCCAGAACCTGCCAGTGTCCCATGCCTTTGCACCCTTTTCAACAACATCTTGAAACAAGTCAGAAAGGATTTCAAGGATATTGTCAGTTCATTATCCTGTTTGAGGCAGTGATTTTCCAAACTGACATGTGTTTTTCAGTTTTTAACACATATCACCCTCCCCAGTCGACGCAATGTGATACCATCACAAGCTAAAGTGCCATCTCTTGATACAATCATAGTCAAGGTAAGCTCAAACTATTGTATCTTCTGACACCATATCCCTTAGCTCACATCTTATGATCAAGCTCTATCAAAACAAACGAGGTCTACTAGGCGGACGTGTCCGTGTCCGGGAAGAGATCTTAGAACAAGTTGATCACGCTTGAAGTGCGCGATATGCCTATTTGGTTAGTCAAAATCCAACACCTATTGAACTTGTATCAAAACTAATCATCATATTCCTCCGCATATCAGAGAATGCAAGCGATGCATTGGGGCCTTAATTGTGACTTGTACTCCAATAAAAGCTTTTGGGATGTGGTCAACAAAAAACTGGAAGACTTGCGCAGCAGGTCCCGCCGGTATTGTTATGCGTACATCATATTATTCCTTCTACTTTTGATATTGGCAATTACTGACAACAAATCTCACATTAGGTTTTATGTATTGATACTGCAGGATGATTATGACCGCATCGACAACGACAAGACCTTTGAGGAGCTCAAGAAAAGCACTGATTTTGCTTTGCCAACCGAGGAGCGCATACTGGCCACTATTCAAGAGTTGGATGAAACGTTTGGCATTGGCTGTGCCCCGGATGAGCGAGTACACGAGGCTGAAACAGTCGAGGTGGAGGAAGATTAGCGTGGAGTATAAGGCGTTTATTTTGTCGTTGTTGCCCCTCATATGTATCTTTCATTCTTAGTTTTTGTTGCACTCAGTTTGTTTCATGATCTGCTCCTTCTTTCTTTTTTTGTCTTCTTACCTCAGTCCCATGTATCTGTCACTTGTTGCTCATTGGGTTTTTTCGGAATTCATCCTATGTTTGTTTGGTCCTTCACACAACACTCGTTTGCAACAGCGCAAAATGAATCTACAATGGAATATGGGAAAACCCATATGAGCGAGAAAAGCACGGGTTTGGCACCAATGAGGTAGTGCGAATACACCCGAGTTGCTCAACCGGTCATTTGTCACCCATTGGGAACCCACAAAATAACGGGCGCTAAACCTATGTCGATAACACCAGTTTTGACACGGTGTGGATATGAGCGTTTGAATCACGTATCTCACCAGCAAAGATTATTGGTCGATCAACCGGGGCCAAGCCACCGTTCCTAGACCGAGGCACAGGGTTCGTGGTGTAAGTCTTGTTTCTCGTCACAGAATAGGAGTACTTATAGGAGATTATTCGGCCTGTTTTGATTTTGTAGAGAACTGGCAGAACTTGAATCTGATTTCGGATAAGCAAAAAATAGCGTGGGCGGAAACAGTCGCTATTTGACTTGGCCTCTTGGTGCTACAAAAAGTGATGACAGTGAGGGGAAAAGCGTTTTGGGTGGATACTGATAATAAAACCACCCAATCAACCATAAAAAAGAGGAAATCAAAAGATACTCAGACAAAAAATGAATGAAAGCAAATCCAGAGGATACTTACAAAATTAGGCTGTAACATCAAAGAGAGACGTGTTACATCTGAAAATAATCTGGCGGACAGACTTTCTTGGGGTTATCAAGGTGATTTTCACTGGTGGAAGGCAGTCTTTATAGAGATTCCTATTGACCTTAGACACCTACTATCATAAACTCAACCTGAAGAAACATCCTCCAAAGTCCAGTAAACCCAAAAAGAGATCCTTCTTCAAACAAAGACGCAACAGGAAGGAATGTAATCCGCCTAACTAAACATTTCAGAGCGTTCAAAAGCAATGTGTCAGGAATTGATAATTCAGATCAATATGAAATACAACAACATTTCCTGTGTGGAACCTGGGCAGATGGAACGTTGAAACACTACAACTCAGCAGTGTTAAAATTATCGAGATTTGCGGAAGTAAAACAGGTAGATTGTTGTGATCTTTTACCAATATCAAAATTGATCTTGAAGGTGTTCATAGTTTGGACTTCTAAGAAACAAGAACAAAGGGCGTGTGACAATGAATCAGTTAATTCTTCAACAGTCAAAGTGGACATTGCGGGGATCAAAGCTCGGCACTTATTCCATGATGCAAAATATCCATCGATAGCTGACACTGCGGTTTCCAGACTCCTAAAAGCATCAAGGAAGATAGAAGCAACTACCGGTGCTGATATCAGACGCAGTAATTCTCCTCGACAAACTCAAAAATGAAGGAGAGAAGGGGGAAGCAGTCTTTGCGTGAGCTCTAACAGCTTTCTGGGGAACAACCAGGCTAGTGGAGTTAATCTCAGACGATGTCAATAAAAGACTACCAACTTGGGAAGACGTGTCCTGGGGCCCGAACGGGTCGTTTGTTAGGATCGACATCTTCGGAGCAAAGACTGCAAAACCAGGAGAGAAACAAACCATTCATATTCATAAGCAGAATTCCGAACTTGATCCAGTTGAAGCTCTTGAAGATTGGTACTGGTTTAGAGAACGAAAGCCGTCAGAAGAGATATTTGCACTGAATTCTGAAATCAGGAGGTCTTGAATGAAGAAAGAAGAGACCATTGCTTACCTCAGAACTATATGGAACAAACGTAGGCCTAGTAACAACGCCACCGGCGCCCCGCCCGCGCTATGGCCTAGCCCTAGCAACATAGCAGTTTTGGGTTACGTAGGGCATAGCACAATTTTGCTGTGCTATGAGGCGCCATAGCGCCCACAAGCGCTTAGCGCCTCATAGCAGTCCATAGCGACCTATAGCACACGAACCGAGTCTCAAGATCTGACTCAACCATCACCACCAGTATCCAAGCCCATCAGTTTCCCTAACCCTCACCTCACGTCCTATTGATTTCAACTACATCACATCAAAAACTAGGGATTTCAATCAAAAACTTGGGATGTGCCTCTCCACGGTATAGAAACTGACTCAAGTATTAGTTTATCAACTCCAGGATTAGTTTCTTGGTCCATTCTACCTTCATACCTCCAACCATTATCTCTGGAAGATGAACGTATTTCGTGGGTACCAAGAAACCTCGGCTCAATCTTTGAAAGATCCTCAAGGTGAGTAGCTTTCTTCCCTTTCTATCAAAGCTCTCATATTGTTTGACTATTTGGTCAATTTCTAACCCTTGTTCCCCTAACAATCCTTCTATCACAATCAGAGTTCACCCTTAGCCCATCTACCCTTTTTTGATTACGTTTATATTCATCCAGTCTTGATTATTATTGTTTAGATTTTGATTATAATCATCCCATCATTTTAATCATGTGTCCATCTGCTGCTGATACCCCAAGCTACACTCAGACTACCCTCCAGATTGACGGTTCAGATTCTCTAGTTCCACCATCATCCGCTCGATCTCTAGAAGTTTGAAGCCCAATGTGTCCTAGACCAGGCTATGTGATGACCTCCCCCAACTCCCAGCGTTCAATCCAATCACCCAGCAAAGAGGGTGAGGACTGGGAAGACGAGGACATCCAATCGGATGTGACCTTGAATGCTCCCCCATCCAAATCAGCTTTGATCGTCAAAAAGAAGTTCTTGAAATCTCCTTGTTGTATACCCGGAAGGAAATGCAAAAGCACAGTATCCAGGAACGTTTCAAACTCATCCCAACAGGGTGTATCACCGGTAAAGAAGAAAAACAGAAGTACAGGTATGTTCATCTTTATCTTATGTATCTTTCATCTTTCATATTCTTCTTACTAATCTCTTTCTCTCTATCTTTCTCTTTGCTTTGTTAAGGACTACAATGTCCCACGTGGTGTTGATATCAACCAGGATTCTGATGTGGAAGTTGTCGGATCATCAGCTGTAAGGTGTGCCCAGCTTGGCCGGGTGAGCAAGCTTTTGGAACACTTGGATCCTGCCATCCATGTGAAAGGCAAGGTACGGGTTTTTTACTGACTTTTTTCTCTTGTCTTCTTCTTTGTTTTCTCTCAAATTTTATTGATTCCCACTGACTATGTTTTTGTTTCATCCATTTGCCTGAACTGGAGATGATCCTTGTGTATTTAGGTGTAAATACTGTCGAGGGTACTTCACTCAAGGCAAGAGAAGTCACTACAACCTCTATTCTCACCGTGCTGGAGCAAAAGATTGACCAGCCTGCCCCAAAAGACACCTGGCAATACGCCAAGGCCACGACCTGCCTCGAACCTGGAAGCAACAACAGGACAATATTTCCCAACTTGCCAAGACCAATCCAAAAGCCACTCTTGACTTGTTTCTCTCTCAGTCCTCTTTTAGTGTAGAACTCCTCAACATCACATTAGTCATCTGGATCCTCTGTCATGTATTACTGTTTTCCTGATTCAATGATCCTCCCCTCAGAGCCTCCTTCAAGCTTTCCAATCGGTCTGCCAATTTACGTGGCATTACCTGGGCTTCTAAGACAGCAAAGGGTACACTACAGGTCAATGGTTGACAGGTCACAATATCGCTTTGTTATCCTCCCCAACAACATCGCGCTGATGACTTCCAGATATCCTGCCAATATCTTTTGGGCTCGGCTGTCAAAGAATGTGACACGCATGAGCCAAGCATGGAGCTTGTCCAACAGCTGGCTCGCGCGTTGGCAAGACTCTGACACAAGTCGACATCGGTGGCCAGAGCAGCTCAGGGCAGACAGAAGCCATGTGAGTCTTGAGAGGGATTTGGTGAGAGGCATCAGTCTCACCAATCGGTCTCATTGAGACCAATGCGCGGCGACCCGCTTTGTTGCGCCCTATGTGATGGAGGCCTGGAACTTCTTTTGGTCCGCAGGCCTCCGTCACACAGGTTACAGTACAACCAATTGCACAAGTGCTGTTTCATGGAAAATCATTCCATTTTGTGAGCATAAAAAGCCCCTTTCTTCTAAATCTTTTGGGTGTACTTTAGCTCACTATCAATTTCTACAATCTCTGCATTCTACACAAAACAAAATCTGTAGCCCAGACTTTTACATTCAATTTCTTCATTGCTGTTGCCTCTTTTGACACTCAATTGACCTCTGTCCTGATCAAAAGTTTTCACGTGCTAGGATTCTACATTTTTTTCATTATCAGCAAAAACAGATTAATCAACTTGTCAGAACAGTTCTTTCAAACATCACTTCCTTCTACTTCTTACAACTGCACCACCATCATCTGATCTGTGATTGAATAGCTTTAATGTCTAACACAGTCAAAACCTACCGGGTTGCAGAATGTAAGTTTTTCATGTCTCATCTTTTCTTGAGAATAACTGAGCAATATCTTTTGTAGTCTTTGATTGTGAAGAAATGGCCAATGGAGATAAGCAATATACCTGCTTGCTTTGTGCAGGAAGACCCACAATGGACCATGAGGCCCACATGTGGCTTGAAAATCATTGTAATCTGGTGACTCAGAACATCAGGGACAAGATGATAAGCGTCAGATCTCAAAGGGGACTTCAAACACAGGCTTCAAATCATCCTGTTGATGTCAATCCCTCTGCTCAAACAGGTCATCAAGATTTGGGGGGTCATGAGTATTCCAGTGACATGGATACAGACCTTGATCAAGGAATTATGTTTCACACACACTCCTCTCCATATAATTTGGAAGCTTCCAATCACTCAAGTGCAGACTCTTCTGATACAAAGTCTGATTCTTCAAACTCAAGTGAAACTGTGGGATCAGCATCATTAGATGAGGATTCTGAGACAGATGACATGGATGTCAACTTCCCACAAATACAGACAGAAGCTTTCAACATGACAAGAAATGTTGCCCCATGGTTCCCTGTGGGAAGGGAGGAGGTAACAAATGTATTATTTTGTCAGTGTCTCTTTCATCTATAAATACTAAAGATACATGTGTCTCTTTTGTCTGGATTCAAAAGAATGTGGCAGGACTTACTGCTTTGGGTAGCACACTTACCCAAACTTCCAGAAAATCATATGATGGCTACAAGCTAGCAGCAAGAGTGATGCATACCGATCTTCCATGCTGGAATGCAATGTCTTCCCTGCGAAAAGAGCTTAGGTCAATGCTTGGCTTAGATGTTAAAGAGTTTGTATCACCGCTGGGTAACACCTGCTACACCCTGGTTATTGAAGAGCAGCTGAGATTGGTGAGTTTATTTTGCCTTGGGCTGGCTTGCTATGATACATATAACATAACACACTGTTAATGTATTTTGTCAACTACTCTTCAGAACTTGGCCAACCCAATTGTGGCCAAAAATCTTAGGTAATATCCTGACGTACGCTCTGATGGGGTGGTAAAGTACTTTACACATTGTGGGAAATGGGTCCATGGTCTTAGAAGGGAGTTTAGGGCTCCAATGGTAAAAACAACAGCTGGAATCTTTTATATCTATGAGCCGGCACGGCTGAAGGATGGAAGACTAGTAGTACCATCACATTTTTGGCAATTGGATGGTGTGCTTCATGCAAAGATTTTGACGGCAGAAATCTTCAAGTTAGATGACTCTACATATCGAGTTTTGATACCAGAGGAGCCTGATTTTGGATTTCAAGATTCAATCAACTGTGATGAACTGTTACTGCCTTTCCCAAAGGTAAAAATAAGCAGGGCAGGTGGAAGTCTTATCAATCAATGTAGGGGATTGATATATCAAACATCATCGGACTCAGACTCACTGGAAGCAATACCATCACCAAATCCCTGGAGAAAGAGGGCAAATGGCTGTGTCATCCGCCACATGCCACTTACTTTGTATTGTGATGGTACTTCAGGAAACGTGAGCAAAAGATGGAATAAACACATGTCGTTTTATTTCAATCTTTTGGGGCTTCCTGCCAGATTAGTTCATCTGGAATTCAATACTTTGTTTCTGGCTACCACCAATGTTGGTACAGCGTTGCAATTGGCTGACAACCTGGTGGATCAGCTGAAGTGGGTGTTTTCATTTATTTTCACACTGATTCACAGTACCTGACATTCTTACTTCTTAAAAGTGTTTTGAGCTCTGAAGTTTGTCTTGCTTATGATAGTACCTGACATTCTTACCTGTTAAAAGTGTTTTGAGCTCTGAAGTTTGTCTTGCTCATGATTCTGAAACACAAGAGGAAGTGTTGATTATGGCAATTCCACTGTGTATTCTTGGTGACCCACCCATGCATGCTGAGGTGTCAAATACATGACAACCAGCCTCATCATTGACTCCTTGCAGGATATGTACTGTGTCAGCTCCAAGCATAGATGAAAAATGTAGTCATCAATATGTGGAAGTTTTTATGGGCCTGGATCAAGAAGGATAACCAAAGCGGTTTGAAACAAGATCACGGAGTGATACAGAAAGTAAAACTTGAGCAATGTGGCAGCAATCAAGGTTTCCAAATTTGATTACAAAGGTGGAAAATCAGGCCAAAATTTGGGGAATAAAGGATAACACAAATTTGAGTTTCATGGAGGATGTCTGCCAATGCCATTGTGAACACCCAAATACCAATATGCCCATTGAAATGGCTGAAGATCTTGAATATATGTACAAGGATAGGTTATTCAACCCCTTCTTACACTTAATGGTTTTGATGGACACATGGACACACCAGTGGAGTTGTTGCAGGTCATACTTTTGGGGGTAACAAAGTATCTATATAGAGATTTTGTAACCCGCCTAACAGAAAACCAAAAAGAAGATTTGAAGCGCAAGTGGAAGAGTTTCAAATCATTAGGTTTAGGACGGGAAGCAATTTAACCTGATTGCATGGTTACACATTCACAGAGCTTGAATGGAAAGGAGTTCAAAATTGTCTTGCAAGCCGCAACATTTCTTTTGGAAGAATACTTGTCTCCATTGTATAGGCAAGTATGGCTGGACTTGGGTCATGTGGCATCAATGGTTTTTCAGCCTGAAATCAGAGACATGGACACATTTTGCAATGAATTAGACCATCTGATTGACTGCTTCCTAATGGGAGTTGTGAGGCTCTCAGCTCAATGGTTCAACAAACCCAAGTTTCATATCATGAAGCATTTTACTCTGTCCATCAGGCAATTTGGACCCCCTTCACTGTTTGCAACCGAATCTTTTGAAAGAATGAATGATGTTGTTTGGAAGTTTTCAATTCATTCAACTCGTCAAAAACCAGGATGGGATATTCCTATCTCTGCAAACAACTTCAATGTACTCCGGCATCTTGCTTCTGGTGGGTGGATAAAACATCCGACCAATGGCTATTGGACTCAATCCGGCAAAAGGGTCATAGACACCCTGGTGAATGACGGTCTGTCTCTGAAGCACTTGGGTACAACAAGGATGTGTTTCAAAGCAATTACCAAGAGGTCCCTTATTGTCAACCAGGACCACCAATGCTGCCACAGATACGGTACGGGTATTGTATTGGCAATACCAGCACCATAACCGGGCTCCCAATACCTTCAGACCCAGGATTTGGTATTGTACTTGGAGCCAGGTAAGATACTAAGAACTGTACCGCAATATACAATACCTATTGGACACACAGAGGATACTGTATTGCTCTTTGGGGAGCGGTACAGTACGATATTGGTATTGTCAGAATATACGGCGGTTACTAGTACCAAGTTATCACCAAAGAACAACTTCAAGAAGGTGACAAAGATAGAATAAAAAAGAAACCAAGATCAATCGATTGATTGAAAATGAGACAGCAAGTTGGAGGAGAGGAGGAGTTGAATTATGGGTTATGTTGTGGCTGTATCAATGTGAATTATGGGTGGCTAAAGGTCAAAAGGGTACGGCTCTGGTACCGTACCCTACTCCCGATACTGGAAAATCAGGGTATCCGGTATTGTACCGGAGGAGGGGTACAATACTAAATACGGTAACCTGCGCAATATCTCGCTATACCAACAATCAGACTCCAACCCATTTCCCCCGTAACCTAATGCCACAAGCTCTGAGGTCTTCCAGAACACCCCTCCGCCCCCCCAAAAAAAGGTCCCTATAGCTTCTCGCATTGCCCAATCACTACCAAAGTCAAAGCATGCCTATCACCGTAAATCACCGTCACCTACTAGCCACGAGACCCCGGAAAACCATCACCACAATTCAAGCTCATCCAAACGAGTACACCATACACTTTCAACCAATTACGGCTCCAATGTCAATGACAACAGCAAGGGTTCAGATGATGATGATGACAATGAAGGAAATCAAAACAACTACGAGTTCCCTGACGGCCACTCTGAGGATCCCTTTGCTGAAGATGACACATCATGTGATGATCCTCCACCAGTGGACTTGCTCGACCAACCTTGCCCCCATAACACACCTAGGACTGCCTCAAAATATCCTGGGACATTTGATGCAGCTGACTTTGCTATGTTTGAACAAATTACATTGGAGTTTGCTATTCACAAGGAAGATATCACCCGTGTTAGACGTGTATTTGGGGTGTGTTTCTTCTTTTTCACCAACAAAGCAAGCCTTGTGTGAACTCTTTGTCAAAACCTTAGGAACCCAAAGCACGTACACGAGAACTTGCTGTGGTATGCATGGTAGCTGAGATGATTGGTCATGTCCGTGATCTAAAGGCCCTTGTACAATCTGGCCCTTCTACTGCCACCGGGAGGCAGACGACTACAACACCTGTCACAATCAATTGCAGCAAGAGTGATCATTGGCAGAGTAGTGATAAACTACAAGTAAGCACCGCTTGCAATCAGGACTGAATCTCTCACAAATACCATGTAAACTAACTCGATCTCGGACTCTTGCCTCTCTGTTTATATCAATAGACCGTGATACGTGCCAGACTCCTGATATACATGATTCCATCAAAGACCAAATCATACAACGGCAATGGAACTAAAAGATCTAAGCCGGTTGAGTATTCACTTGAGAACCGGGTGATGGTATGTCCCACTTCTCTGAATCATGTATGATTCTACATTGACAGAACCCTATCTATCAAGAACTACCTTTGTAAACACGCAAATGAAGATTTTTACCTAGCTCAGCTGCCTCTGGACTTCTTTAAAGGGGATGTGAAGTCCTTGCAGCTTGCTCTTAAGCTTGTCAAAAAGTTAGCCACCTATCAACACAGTAAATTTTGGGATAATGTGAGTCAAGACCAAAAACAATCTTGGTTTTATTATGCTAATCATCCTTGACCTCAATCAGATCCTCACCAACCTAATAACAAAGAATAGCACTCAATCTGGAGTAGTTCCTAGGCTCAAGGAGCTAATTGGCCAGGTATGTTATCATTACATGCCACTGTACATCTCAGCCTATTTACCTCAAAAATCGATAGTTTGTCCATAGCCAAAACAAACTTGATCATCGCTCAGACAATGATATCTTTGCCAAAACATCATTAGAGGACCAACAACGCTTTGCATTAATTGTAAGTACGTTGAAACTTTCTACATATACATTTTCTGACATCAAATTTTTGTCATTAAGTGTTTGGTTGGTCTCAAGTATTACCACACTTCCACTGTTGTGACTGATTGCAAGTCACGAAATTGGCCAAAGTTGATGTGGATTTGGGTCGATAGAATGTTGGTGGCGTTAAAAAAATACCCCAAAGAGGGGAGTGATGGGTAATTTACTACCTCTTGTCCCAGTGCCCAGTACGTATGAGCTGATGCCATCTTGATCAACTGTTTTAGGTATTATGAAGTGATTATGAATACTGACAAACGGTTTGACGGGTTGCGCAGTCTATCCACCATCAAAGCGTAGGGGAGCCCAATTAAACTACCCAAACATTATTGCTAAGAACTCCCTGACAGGGAAGATCGACAAACAGTTGCGGAGAGGGCTGATTTAGAACAAGATTTAGATGATGATGATGATGATGATGATGTAGAAGAAGAAGATGATGTATAGGAACATGCAATTGTCAACAATATAAAAACTTTACAATACTATTCTTGAACAAAGTATCAATTTCAAAAGAAAGAAAAACTCACGTAAAAATCATTGGACCTTTCTTATATTCATAATTCATGTAGATTTGTCTATTTTTTTACAAGTCTTGTCTCATGTTCTTTGTTCCTCCCTTATATTCATATACATTCATTTAGAGCTGTCTCTCTTTTATTCAAGTCTTGTCTCATGTGTTTTGTTCTTTTTTGTTTTCTTTTGATCAAGTGTTTTTACTCTTTTTGATGATCCCATTTAAAGAAATCACGAACTCACGCTCACTGTGTAATTTAAGAGTGGTCAATTGACCCTATCGCCCCAAATCAAGAACCAGGAAAGGTTGTACTGGGCTATTTCCTGCACCAAGAAACCAGTTCAAATGGTTCAACCATTTGAACTACTTGAATGGATCCAATCCAATTCAAACAGTTCTCCCAGCATTCACAGAACCTCAACCAACAATATTGCGCTGATGTCCTCAATTTCATCGGGGCGATAGCGTATGTGAGGATAATAAACCGAGATTGGCCCGATCTCCCCTTGATATTGTGAGACACAATATTGCTGTGATGTCCTGATTGGACCGTAGTGTATTCACAAGGACCTTTCGAGAACAGTTATTGATATGGTCAAGGTATGTTATTCTCTCTCTTTGATCCATGACTCTATCCTATTGGTAAAAATTGACTTACTAATCAACTTCTTGACGTTACAGTCGAACAAAAGCAAGTTTAGCATGATGTACGATGTCTGGACGACCAAGGGTGGTGGGAAGGCATACATAGGGGTCCCAGTCACTTATATTGACGATGACTTGAAATTCCAGACACAGCATCTAACCCTCAAGTTGGTTGCCTGGCATCATGCAGGTCGATTACTCACTCAGCCAGTAGGGAGGTTCTTGATTTCCAATGGCTCACATACAAAGATGAGTACTCTTCATTGTTTCTTGGTTTTTTTTCTTGGATCCACTTCTCCATATCTTATTTTTTGGATCGAGATCAGGCCATTTAAGCTGACATACTTTATTGTTTTACTTATTAGCTCAGACCACTGACTCAGCAAGTTCCCACAATACGATGCCCCACAAGCTTTCAACGATGTTCAGGGACACCAAGGAGTTAGATGATTGGGACTCAACAGCGTATCAGGTAAAGTGCTATGCACACAAGATTGGACTGGTGGTAAAATCGGGATTGAAGTCACTGGGTATGACCGCCGGGCATATCAAGCCAACCACCCAACCTGGTGTTGTCTTACCCACACCTATCCTGACTTTGAACGAGGGCGAAGAAGATGTCAACTTTGAATCTTCAGAAGATGACCTAGATGAACATGATTCAATTGATGGTCAACCTGTGAGAAACCATCCTGACTACAACGCTTCGGACACCGGATTTGACAACAAGGAAGAGTTTGCTCTTTCTGCTTTAGCTTGGGCTGTTCTTAAGGTTTGTAGATGTTTTCCATTATCCACTATAAGTCTCCAAATAGATACTGATTTCTTTTTTACTCACACAGGCTGAAAAATTTCAATGGCCTCTGCACCCACAGCTCAGCAAGACACCAGGAGTTCATTGCCAAAGTAAAACAACTGGATTATAAGGGTCGCTCCCCTCTCTCTGGATGGGAAGTTTGTTGGAATATTGACGCAGATTATCTCAAGCATCTAAGCAACACATGTGATGTAAGTTCAAATCAAGCCTTTCATTTTAAGTATCTCCATCCTATCCTTTCAGCTAATGAAACTTGTTTGATAGGTTGTTGATGCAATACTCCTTGCAGATCAAAAGACCCAATATTACCAAGGGATACTTATCACCCCTGATGAATGGGATTCCATTGGGAACTTGGTCCGAATTCTTCAGGTAATTGTGGTTTTGAAATTTTAATTCCTTCTCTTCATTTTTGTTTCTTTCCTGTTCCTTCGCTGTACGAAAAGAAATGGTTCTGATTAGTTTCTCTTCATTTCAAAGGTTTTCCTCTGCGCTACAAAACGTTTGGAAGGAAATTCCACTACTGGCTGTATCGTCCTTGCCAAATACTCGCGGATGGTTCAAGACATTGATAAACTTAAGGGTACTTGCAAAGACTTGGAGCTGAAGAGAATGCTTGGAGTCATGCGCATCAAGCTGAGGCAGCAGCCTCTGATGTGATTGTCTTATTGACAATCCTAAATCCTTGATTCCGCCTGCAATTTTTTGACCTCAATTATCCCAATGAAGCCGCCCAAGCTAAAACCATTTTTAGCTATGGCTTTGAAGATGCATTATGGGAATGGGCTGAGGATCCTATCATCTCAGACATCCTCCCAACCTCCCAAACACCTTCCCCTCCAAATTCACCACTCCAGGACTCCTCTTTTTTCAATGTCTTCACCAATCAAGCCTCTTCATCCTCAGCAGCTGATAGACATTGAGAAGAATACGTAGAGTATATTGAAGGAGCCCACTTAATGGTTGCAGGTCAGAATGACCTTGATTGGTGGAAGGTGGGTTCTCCTACATCATCCACTATCCTTGATACTTCCTAGTTCTGATGTTTCTCATTTCACTTATAGGATCATCAAAAGGACTTTCCTGTCCTGGCAACTCTCACTTGCAATTATCTTGGACTTTCTGGGACCACTTGCCCATGCAAGAGAACATTTTCTTCAGCTGCTGACATCACTGTGCCCAATCGCAGTTCTTTAACTGCAAGAATGATCAGTAAGCTTGTTAGCGTAAGTGAAAGGTTAAAGTCGGGTATTACACTTTCAGGTAAGTATGCTGAAGCTTGGGCATATGTCCAAGCTTATCAAGCTCAGCAAAATAAGCCTAAGAAGTAGAATTTTTTCAAAAGTTGTCGCTTTTGTTTTTTTTTCTTTGTCAATATAATTGTGCGGAATTATTTCCATCATTCTTGTGTCCTCAATAAAATCTTGTCTTACTCCTGGTTATTTCCTTACAAAATTATTAAGACTTAAAAAAAACTTTACTTTCTTTGTCAATATTTGTCTGATTGTTCTGTTTGGTCTTTAGTTTTAATGAAAAGTGCCCCAATTAAAAAAAACACGCTTTTAGTTGCTAACCTGTGTGAGATCAGCCATAGCGGAGCGGAGCGCTCCAAAAGTCCAAAAAAACCGCTTTTAGTTGATAAGTCTTGTGAGATTTAGCAATAGGGAAGCAGAGCGCTTGAAAATCCCGCACTTCTATCAAATGTCATAGCGCCTCCCATTATATAGCATAGCGGTTGGCGGTTTACCATAGCGCCATACTGCTCCGCTCATGGAAATAGTGATTATAGCGGAGCAGAGCGGGGCACCGGTGGCGTTGCTAGTGATAGTCAGCTTCTATCTGATCATTCATTTCGTATTGGTGGAGCATTGTTGAGATGGAATCTGGTTGCCTCAAGAGATGAATTGAAGAAATATGGAAGGTGGAAATCAGATGCATATAAGATCTATCTGGCAAAAGATCTCGCGAAGACGGTCAAACTCCTTCATGATCTTGAAATAGAGGACTGATTTAAATTTAAAGTTTACCTTGCATGATAAAGTTCATACAGAATAGCTGTAATAGTTGCTAGCTGTACAAAAGAAATTTGATAGATGAATTCTTCTTCTTCGTAAGGTTTTTTAATCCGGATTATTTAAGAATATATATATTAAGAATACATGTAGTACGAGTGAGGGGATAGAAAGGACAACCATGGAACTCGCGCAGACAGAGTTAAGGGGCTTCTCGAGGCTCTTGTATCAAATCAACGCAAGTTATGGGAGCTGAGAAGCCCTGGTCTTGCCAATGAAGGGTGTGAGGTCAAAGGTTTCTACCTATACCTCTAATCACTCCTTCAAAGGCCCTCCCCACACCACAGTAAGTAAACATAATCTCATCTAAGTTTAGATAAGATAATGTCTACTGTGGTAGATCAGTATCAAATGAGGCTAGCCTTTTAAGCTTCAAGCAATAAATAAGTTAATAGTCATATTCTCAACTTAACACATTAATTAAGTTAAGGTCTGTTAAATGCTGAACTAATGTAATTCATAAACCTAAGTTCAACGCATAAGACTGAAATGGATGTAATTGTACTTCTGGAGATAGACTAGGATACTATCAAATTTATGCCTGAATCCTTCAAACTCTAACTTTGAATCAATACCACCATTACTTTCAGAATCCAAAGCCAACTCCTTCAAATCTTCCACTGTGTACTTAGGCGCCTCTCAAATTGATGCAAACCGGGCCTTCATTTCCATCTTCAACAACTTCCAATCCCATTCTCCTTCTCCCCAACCTTTAAGTTCCTTAATTTCCTCCTTTAAATCCTTCCCATTCAAAAATGCACAGACTTGCATTTCCATGTCTACACCCCTTGCTCCATCAACCTGCACCACAACCTCAAAATCACGTAAGAACTTCTTGACACCATCACCCCAACTGAACCGTAATTCTGAATCTTGAGGTTCAATTTTGACCGCTTTCTTCTTCCCCTTCTTGCTCTTCTTCCGCTGCTTGATTTCCACTTCACTCTCCTCCTCCAAGCTTGAACTCGCCTCACTACCGCTATCCGAGCTTGAAATGCTACTGCTTCCGTAGTACTTCTTCCTGCCTTTCCCTTTACTTTCCTTCCTTGGCTTCTTTCTTACTTCCTCCTTCAACTGTCTTTCTTTCAACTTTTTCAAAACCTTCTCCATA